TGGTAGCTGGTAGTGTGGTCACCACTGCATGGTACGGTCAACCTCCACTGAATGGTACTTTGGGTACAAGTGCGGTACCTGCATGATGTGTGTTTTGGTACGATGATGCCGTTAAGAGGATAGCTCCGATTCCTTGGATCAAGTGTCCTTCACTAGCATCAACGCTCCCGTCTTCCAGGAGACCTGCTTTGATTCTTATATAATAATAATAATAATAATAATAATAATAATAATAATAATAATTAATAAAAATAATAATAATAATTATTAAAATAATAATAATAATAATAATAATAATAATAATAAAATAATAATAATAATTAATAATAATTTAAAAATAACAAAAAATAATAAATTTAAAAATAATAATAATAATAATAATAATAAATAATAATAATAATAATAATAATAATAATAATAATAATAATAATAATAATAATTATAATTAAAAATAATAATAATAAATTAAAAATAATAATTAAAATAACTTTTTTTCTTACAGGTTAAAGGGAAAGCGGGTTAAATTCCTTTGGTTTTTAAATTAGTCCCGAGTTAATTTTTTTCCTTGTGTTTTTTTAGTTTGGGGGGGGGAGTGTTTTTTCGTGTGTTGCTCGTGTTAGTGGTTGCTCGTGTTAGTGTGTTGTTTCGTGTTAGTGTTTCTCGTGTTAGTGGTTGCTTCGTTTTAGTGTGTTGCTCGTTTGGTGTTGCCGGTAGTGTGTTGCTTCGTGTTATGTTTTGCCTGTTGGGTTGCTGTGTTAGTGTGTTGCTTCGTGTTAGTGGTTGTTGTGTTAGTGTGTTGTTCGTGTTAGTGTGTTTTTTTCGTTTAGTGGTGTTTTCGTTTTTAGTGTGTTGCTTTTGTAGTGTGTTGCTCGTGTTATGTGTTGCTGTTTAGTGTTTGCTCGTGTAGTGTGTTGCTCGGTTAGTGTGTTGTTTTCGTGTTAGTTGTTGCTCGTTAGTGTTTGCTTCGTTTAGGTTTTTGCTCGTGTTAGTGTTGCTGTGTTAGTGTGTTGCTTCGTTTTTAGGGGTTTTTGCTTCGTGTTGTGTTTTTGCTTCGTTTTTGTGTGTTGCTTCGTGTTAGTGTGTTGCTTCGTGTTAGTGTGTTGCTTCGTGTTAGTGTGTTGCTTCGTGTTAGTGTGTTGCTTCGTGTTAGTGTGTTGCTCGTTTTTAGTGTGTTGCTTCGTGTTAGTGTGTTGTTTTCGTGTTAGTGTGTTGCTTCGTTTTAGGTGTTGCTTCGTGTTAGGTGTTGCTCGTGTTAGTGGTTGCTTCGTGTTAGTGGTTGTTCGGTTAGTGTTTGCTTTCGTTTTAGTGTGTTGCTCGTGTTAGTGTGTTGTTCGTGTTTGTGTTGCTTGTGTTGTGTGTTTTCGTGTTAGTGTGTTGCTTCGGTTAGGGTTGCTTGTGTTTGTGTTGTTTTGGGTTTTGTGTGTTGCTTGTGTTAGTGTTTTGCTTCGTTTTTTATGTGGCTTCGTTTTTGGTTTGTTTCGTTTAGTGGTTGCTTCGTTTTAGTGTTTTCTTCGTGTTTGGTTTTGCTGTTTAGTGTGTTCTTGTGTTTAGGTGTTTGTTCGTGTTATTGGGTTTGCTCGTGTTATGTTTTGCTTCGTGTTAGTGTTTGTTTCGGTTAGTGTGTTGCTCGGTTAGGTGTTGTTCGTGTTAGTGTTTGCTCGTGTTAGTGTTTCTTCGTGTTAGTGTGTTGCCGTGTTTTGTTTTTTTTTTTCTTTTTTTTTTTTTTTAGTGTGTTGCTTCGGTTGTGGTTGCTTGTGTTAGTGTGTTGTTCGTGTTAGTGTGTTGCTCGTTTTAGTTTTTTTTCTTCGTTTTAGTTGTTTGCTTCGTTTTTTATTGTTGCTTCGTGTTAGTTGTTTTTTGTGTTAGTGGTCTTCGGTTAGTGTTTGCTCGTGTTATGGTTTGCTTCGTGTTGTGTGTTGCTTCGTTTTAGTGTTTGCTTCGGTTAGTGAGTTGCTCGTGTTAGTTGTTGCTTCGTGTTAGTTTTTTGCTCGTGTTAGTGTGTTGCTCGTGTTTGGTTGCTTGTTTTTTAGTGTGTTGCCGTGTTAGTGTGTTGTCGGTTGTGTGTTGCTTCGTTTAGTGTGTTGTTTCGTTTTAGTGTGTTGCTTCGTGTTAGTGTGTTGCTTCGTGTTAGTGTGTTGCTTCGTGTTAGTGTGTTGCTCGTGTTAGTGTGTTGCTTCGTGTTAGTGTGTTGTTTCGTGTTGGTTTGCTTCTTTAGTGTGTTGCTTCGTGTTAGGTGTTCTTCTGTTATGTGTTGCTTTTCTGAGTGTGTTGCTCGGTTAGGTGTTGCTTCGTGTTATGTGTTGTTTTTTCGTGTTAGTGTGTTGCTTCGGTTAGTGTGTTGTTTTGTTTTTAGTGTTTGCTCCGTGTTAGTTTGCTTCGTGTTAGTGTTTTTCTTCGTGTTGTGTGTTGCTCGAGTCAGGTTTCTTTTCACAAAAACTGATCCATCACTAACACTTCGTTTTTTTTTAAACATTGTAGTAAAAACAAAACATACATCTACAAATACACTACAACAATATAAAAACCATCATACAATATACCTACAACAAAAAACACACATCAAAATATACACACATCATACAATTTTCACTACATCATACAATTACACTACATCTACAATATACACTAATCATACAATATACGCCCATTAAAAATTTTTATATTATTACAGTGTTTGTTCATTCCGTCCCGTTGGATTTCCAGCTGCTCCCTTGATTGAAAAAAAATTATTATTATTATTTTTATTATTATTATTTTTATTATTATTATTATTATTTTTCGTTGTTGTTGTTGTTGTTGTTGTTGTTGCTGCTGCATTCTGGCCATAGTCACTATATATTGATTCCAGGAGCACAAGAACAGATAAATACTGCAGTAGGTTTACTGGCCCATGCTAGCAAGTCTAACTCACCCCCACTACCTGGAAATTTGTTCCACTCATCTACGAGTACAACTTTGTTTCTAAACCAGTTCTTCCCAAGTTCTTTCTAAATCTAAATTTGTCCAACTTAAATCCATTGCTGCGAGTCCTGTCTTGGTCAGGTAACTCCCAGTACACTGTTTATATCCTTTGTATTTCTTTTATCCCTGTTTATTTTCTCTGTATCCCATTCCTGTTTTCATTTGTACGCCGGTCAATATCTCTCCTAATTCTACGTCTTTCCAAAGAGTACAAATTCCGAGCCTTCATCCTGTCTTCCAGGAGAGATTTCTGATACATGGGATCAACTTTGTTATCCTTCTCTGTACATTTTCTATCGTATTGATGTCTATTCTGAACAGCATAATCTGAGGACTTACCAAGGAAATATAAACCTCGTTGACTTACCAAGGAAATATAAACCTCGTTGACTTACCAAGGAAATATAAACCTCGTTTAAATCTTCTCATGTCTGTATAAATGCTGTTGACTTGTAGACAGTGTGATCTTATTATAACACTAAAAATAACCTATTGTATGTATAAACACTATAAACAATCTGTTGTTTGTATAAAAGATCTATAAATAGTATGTTGCACATATAGTATTGAATTTATAGTCTGTATAAAAAATACTCGTCTTTATATACTGTATAAACAGGTTTGATGTGAGTTAATACTGTTGTGTGTATAAGAGTGGGTTGCTGTATAAACAACGAGAGAAAGCTTTGCACTTTCCCGTGTGTATAACACACTTACGTGGTTGACATAACGCAACACAATATACTGAACAAATGCAGAAGACAACGTTGAGCAGTGTGACAGTTAAAAAGATTCTTCCTTGCGATGTTTGTAACATTTGTGAAAAGTGTGTAAGGATACACACGAAGAATAACAAGCACAATGTCGTGGCTGCACAACTAACACACAAGTTACAATACAGTGGCTGGAACAATTCACAACTAATCTGCACTTAAGGAACTTATCACGACGTTTCGGTCCGTCCATACACAACAATGTTCCAAGACTGAGAGAAACGTTTTCCTACGTTTCATCTCTCAAGTGCTTGTTTTCTGAGAATGTTAAGATGCATATTTTTACAAAATAAGTAGATACAAAAGTGTGATAAATGGTGTAAGTGGAGAGACAGAAAACCACAGCAAGAGGAGACTTGTATGTTTGGGCCTCCTTCTGAGGTCCTCTTCAGCAGAGAGCTGTAGATGACATCGGAGTAAAAAGACAAGTGACTGTCGACAACTTGAGGGAAAAGAATGGATACTGAAAGCATTCACTTAGGGCACCTTTATTAAAGACGATTCGGTCTTTGGACCGTGATGTATTGGAAGGAATAAAAGTGCAAGGGTCGAAACGTCTTTAATAAAGGTGTGCTAAGTGAATGCATTAGCGTCCACTTGCACACAGAGACGCGTTGCCCAAAACTTTGCTGTGACTAGTTTTCGTTCTTGATAAAGCTTTATATTGAGCGAAACGTTGTCACTACAAAAGCTAGCGTTGCACCGGTGTTTTTCCTTCAGGACCAATGGGGTAGGTCAATACAGGTCAACTTAACTCTAGATCAACATTTTCTCTCTGTGAATTGATTGGTACCATAACACGTAGAGTAACTTTTCCTCAAGGTTTACACGCACACTGATGAGAGTAAATTCAGTATATAGGTGTATTATGTATCTGTGAAACGATGGAAACTACACCGTTCTTCGGAAGTCTATAACGTCTGGCCGAATGCCTGTGCTTAAGATTTGAGGGACTGACCACCCCTTACCGAGGGTGAGAGACTGATCACGTCAAAACTACTTCTACTGCTTCCACTGTTCCATTCGGTTGACGAAGCCTGTTGTGCAGGCGATACGTTTCGGCAATGAAGATGCCCGAGGGTTTCAAATGTGTTTTACTGATCTCCTTCGGAGGGCTGGAATCCCCATGTCCTCTTTGAGAAGAGTCGCCAGTGTGACTACGTCAGGTGATCCGTATATATACTCACCTATTTGTGGATGCAGGCGTCGAGTCCTAGCTCCTGGCCCCGCATGTGTATGTGTGAAAGAGAAGTCGTCAACACTTAC